TTTCAACTACGGAATGTCAACAAGGACATTATAGGACAAGGAGTAAGTTCAAAATTACAGAAATAAGAAATGCATTTTATTACACCCACTAAGATGATAGGCTGTCTATTAAGAATGATACGAAAATGATAGATTATATAAAGAAATTGATTCTGATCATGAACATTTAGCAGGAATTTTAATATCGTCAAGCTAACCGTGAAACATTTTTGTGGTTTTCTTTTGCATGGACGCAAATTCTGGTTATTTTCATACGAAAATAATAAAAATATAAAAGTATCATTTTCATTCAAAGAAATTTCATTAAAATAATTTTCCTCAAATAGTTAAATTATGAGTTTCCTTAATTCCAGAGCAAGGCTCAAAATTACAGAAATAAGAATTGCATTTTATTACATCCACTAAGATAATAGGCTATCTATTTGTTGTCGATTTTATTTTTACGAAATTGATTTATTATTAAAAAAAATTGATTCTGATGATGAACATTTGGCTGGAATATACTACCGTCTAGCTATCAATGAAACATTTTAGTAGTTTTCTTTTACATTTGAAGCAAAGTATGATTATTTTCATTCAACATTGCTCCATATAAGGAGTTACTCGTGCCTTTTGAATTAGGTTCAAATTTGCAAAAATAAAGAGAAGATGATTTAATTATTTACAATTCACTATAACAGAATAGATTGCTTATCGAGAACAATAGAAAACGATTTGTCAGATTTCGGTAGGGATATTTTTTTCCATTCAAATAATTGTTCGTGTGCTTGTACAGTGCACCCCCCTCCCCCTAAAAAAATACGGACCATCCTCAACAACTTTTGAACAAATGATCAGATTTTCACGTTTTAGGACTCAAGGCATCAAGGCCTTAAATATCATCATAACCTCAAATATGCTAATTAATAAGTGCAGACAATAATTTAAGTTACGAAATCAAACACAAAAACGTACTTTCTCTGAATAAACTTATCTTTTTTTCGACGGACTCGGATTTCTGACCCCCAAGATATAGGGGATAGTTGCAATGTGGGAAATATGGTCCCCATAGTTTGGTCATGACAGCGATCCAAAGTTTGGACAATTAATTTTACTTTTTGCATTTTTGCTATATCTCAAGAACTTTTCGAGCGAATTGAAAAATTTTTGAGCACAATTATAAAATTTGTTTATCAAAAGATAATTCCAATCAAAAAGTAACTTTTAATAAATATTTTTTTTTAGTTATTTTATTCAATAATAGTCGAATAATTTTGATATGTAAGACATATAATTTTTTAACACTATTTTAAAGAATGTTATTTTACATGGCAAAATACAAAATTTGAATGAAATTGGTCGAATAATTCCTGAAAAATTGAATTTCAAAAAAGTCAGATACTTAAAATTCGATTTCTTGGGAACTGTTGAACCGATTTATCTCAAATTTTGAATTTTATCAATAAAAATTACATTTTTTAAAATGATGTAAAAAACCGTATACCTTACAGTTCAAAATATTTTTGACCATTATTAAATAAAATAATAAAAAGTAATAAATATTTGCTAGAATATTTGTTATAGAAAAAAATCTATATAGAAAAATATCAAAAACATATTTTTACTTTTCAATTTATTAAATAACTTGAAAATAGTATTGCTATCATTTAATTAAGATTGCCACTATAAACTGTTCAAATTTTAATTTAATACGTATTATTTCTGTATTAAAAAGACTTTTTTCAATTTCTTCCTTCTGGGTTGGAAGAAACTATTTTTTTCAGAGTTTTTGTTTTTACTGTGGAAGAAACTTGCCATTCTTGAATGATTATAAAATGACAATAGTAAACTAATAATAAGATTTAAAAGGTTTTGGTCTTGTGTTTGTTCAGTTAAATGTCTACAGTTCATATAAGGTCTGATTTATCATAGCCTAAGCCCGTGTCTCTCATAGCCTGGGAGACATGGGCTAAGGGTACCTTCATGTCTGGGGACTCTCGAAATGCTAAAAATATTTTCTGCGTGCGTTTTTCCTTAAAAATTGTCCATTAGAATTGAGTGTAAACAAAATTTTAAATAAATGTAGGCACAATTTTGCAAAATATTGTAATTTACTTATATTATAAAAAGTTTAAAAGTATTTTGCTATTTTGTAAATGAACAACTTTTAAATTTGAGAATGAATTAGGCCTACAACATTTATATGAGTTGAGTTCCCCGATTTCTAAATCAAGCTCTGAGCACAACTCTAATTTTTATAATTTTTAGTTTAAATAAGCACTTAAACTTTAGTTACAATAAGAAAACTCTGTTTTAAGCAAGCAACAGTATTTGAATAAGCAAATATCTTTTCTTCGGTAGAAATTTACCCAAGCCCTGGAAATCGAAACTAGGTTAAATTGAAACTTAAGTGCATCATTGCGCGTATGGATGGTGTTTTTTACACTAGGGAACGCTGCAAGCTCCATACCGCCTACACTTTCGTGTTACTGTTTCCAGTGGGTTTTAAAGCCATTTGGCTCACAGCGTGATCATTGTGTTTTGATATTCTTGCAAACGTGGTATTTGATTACTTATTACTCGTGTTTACAATGCTAACAATATTTGTGTTTACCATGCTACCTTGCTGTTGTTGTTCATTTACGTCACACTAGAGCTGCACAATGGGCTATTGGCGACGGTCTGGGAAACATCCCTGAGGATGATCCGAAGACATGCCATCACAATTTTGATCATCTGCGGAGTTGAACCATGCTACATAACACTATAACGTAAGATGGTGCACAGCTTGCAACAAGGACAAACAGTAATAAACAAATGGAAAGAGGCCAAATCAGGACTGTCAAAAAAGCGAGATATTCAAAATCTAGCAACCATTTCGCCTTTTTTTAACAATATATCTATAAATAACTGGAACAAATTTTTACTTCAAACTCACCAGAATTACTTAATAACATTAATATCTTATGAAATAAAGCAGACTTGAGCTCAGAAATTTTCTAATTTATTTCTTTTATTGAAAACAAATTTATCCGTTTGAAAATATCGCCTGTCTTTTTCCGAACCATGGTAGCCTGAGCCGTGGTTCGGACCGGTACTCAGAGTCGTAGTAGCCCAGTGGTTAGAGAGTCAGTTTTCGTCGGTCTTACCAGTGTTGCCAGAACTTAAGATTAAAAAGTAGCGAATGGGAGCTCCAAAAGTAGCGGATTCGAACATTTTGTAGCCCAAAAATAAATCATATATATATATATATAAATTTATTTACTGCACTAATTTATTTGGCAATATTTCTGTAAAACAGCGCCGTTTGCCAGAAAACACTAAAATTATAATAACATTGGCTAGCTCGTTTTTTTCCAGCTTTTTTATGTGTAAAAATCAGTCGGAACTGTCTTCGATATTTTAATGTTGGTGCGGTCTTTGAGCTGCATAAGAATACTAAGAGGTTTCGACCTCAGCTCGCTTCGTTCCCCAACCTCAAGAACCTTAATTACTCGCACATAAAAATGTTCTCACTAGCTAATTTTTTTTTAATAAAAATTATCTCGCGTTTCGAGGAAATTAAAAATAAGACCTAACTAGGACCCAATCTCCAACAAGAAATTCAGAAAAGTTCAACTTCATGGGCCTACAT